AGAATAAGTGCTCGCTTGGCAAGTACAAGGTCCTGAGTTCAAGCCCCAGTACCACAAAAAAAAAAGAAAGAAAAAGAAAGAAAAGAAAAACAGAAGAAAGCCACTTCCCAAGATGTCAACCCATGCATCAACCATGTTGTAAATGTATTTTGTTATTAGTTTCAAGGTAGATAATTTTCAGCCTCTAAATGTTATTTGATACTGCAATTATTGCATACAGACTATTGTTTTGTTTTGTTTTGTCTGAGGCAGGGTTTCACTATGCAGTTCAGGCTGGCCTTGTACTCACTCTGTAGCCCAGGCTGGCCTCAAACTTGCAGCAATCCTCCTGTCTCAGAAAATACTGTATTTTTAAATACAATAAACATATGCTTTTATTTATAATACCTAAGTGACAAAATTCCATTCAGTTTTCTATAAAAGGGTCTAGTTGACATAGTTACATAAACTTCAGAATCATTATGTCAATCTGTTCAAAGTGTTTTTCTGCCTGCCCAGCAAGTTGAAGGTCCCAAGTTCAATTCCTGATACCAAAAAAAAAAAAAAACGTTTTCCTATTTGAAATATAAAAGCATCACCATTTCTTTTCATAATAGGTAACAAAAGAGGTTATTTTTAGAATAAAAATAAAATTTCAGGCAAATGAAACACTAGTTGGATTAAAACAAAGTTGACTTCTATAATTTCTTTTTTTTTTAACTTCCATAATTTCTATACACTACACTTGTTCTGAAAAATGTGGGGCTGGCCAAATAGCTCAGCAGATTAAAGCACATGCAAGCAGGTACAGGGGTTAGGGGTTCAATCCCCAGGCCTGCTGTGCTTGCCCTGAACCCGGGGCGTGCTGAGATGGCAATTGAGACTGGGCATGGTGGCACGCACCTGTAATCCCAGTTCTTGGGAGGATGTAAATAGGCAGATCACTATGAGTCTGATCTAATAGTGGGACCCTGAACACCCTGTAGACCCTTCCCTAAAAAATACAAAATAAATAAAATAAAAAATAAATAAAAATTTTAAAAAGGGCCAGGGACATACCTCAGCAGTATAAATGCCTGCCTGACAAGTGCAAAGTCGTGAGTTTGATCCCTGGTACAGAAAACAAAAGAAGCCGGCCAAATAGCTCAGCCGATTAGAGCACCTGCATGCAGGCACAGGGGCCGGGGGTTCAATCCCCAGGCCTGCCATGTTGGCCTGCCCCTGGGGCATGCTGAGACCCAACTCTTGGGAGGCTGTAAACAGGTGGATCACTATGAGTCCGATCTAGTAGCGAGACCCTGAACACACTGTAGACCCTTCCCTAATATACAAAAATAAAAAAAAAAAGTTTAAAAAATGTATAAGGTCCTAAAGATAAGCCAATTCTTTACAAAAATAAATAAATCCTCACTCTCAGGCCCGGCAAAGTGCTAAAATGATTCAGTGTAAAGAACAAGCCACACCTACCTTTGATCACACGCAATGGATCTGCCAGACAGAGAACCAGGAGTACAGCGAAAGTGAGACTTTATTTCTCTAGCTTGCAAGAGCAGATGGCAGTCTAACAGGAAGGCAGGCATGCCCAGGGTGGTTACAGGGAGCAATTTATCCCCCAACTTGCAGGTCTTTCCCCCCAGGTCCTCACTAGCTGAGTACTATGGGAAGTACAGTCTTCCCAGATGCTGCCTAGATTTCATTAGGATATAGCTTTGGCCGGCTCCCTCTGCAAGCAACTTGTGGCTTTAAAGGCAAATGATTACGCCACAGATGGGTAATTTGGGGGTGTCTGTTGGTTGTTTGGTTTTGTGGAGACAGTATCTCACAATATATTCCCAAGCTGGCCTTGAACTCACTATATTGAACTTGGAGATCTTCAGCCTCCAATGCTGGGATTACAGGCATGTGCCACCACGCTCCAGCCACAGGTGGGTAACTACTAGTACTTTGCCAATCAGAGTTGGCATAGTGAAGCCATGCTTTATTGTTTATCTAAGCTTTCCAACTAAACAAAGATCTCTTTTGTTTAGGGACCTTTCAGATGCAGGACCTCATTTATGTCTACAGGCAAGTAGGCAATTTTGTCTACTTACAGCTTTCCACCCAGAGCCAAAGACATTATCTTGAAAATGACCTCTTTTAAGTGTCTGATTCTTACAGCAGTGACAGGACATCTCCCAGAAAGATGTTCTGAAAAGTTTAAGACAAAAAGCCTACAGCATCCACGCAGGAATGTTGGGCACTAAAAAAATGGGTGTAGCTAAGATAGGAAATCATTTACATGACCAGCAATAGATAAATGAATAAAAATTACATGTAAATAAAATGGGGTATTATTAAACCATAAAGTACACTGAATTCCTGTCATTTGCAGGAAAATGGATAGAACTGGAGGATATCAAGTTCAGAGAAATAGGAGGGGGATGTAAGACATTTTTTTTTTTCAAATATGCCTGAAGGTGTCATAAGAACCCTGATGGTCAGGTCTGGTTATCTTCTTATTAAGGAAGTTTCCAGAATGCACAATGACTAGTGAGGACCTTAGACAGAGTGTGGTGCCAGGAGGGCAGGTAGGACTGAGGGTCTCAGAACCCTGGGCAGGGCATGCTGAAGTCCTTCTCCATGGAGATGGATACAAGAGGGGTGTAGCTCGGAGAGGCCCCCTGGGGGCTGACAACCCCTCCCATCCCACCACAGTCCACTACCACTAGGGCTTCCCTCTGGGCAGAGTCCAGTCTGGAAGCGGGTACATGGGTAAATGGCACCTTGAAAAAGAAGTCTGACTATTGTTTCTATCAGTTTGAGACTTTTAAAAAAGTGACACAAGCCCAGGTTTAAAAATGACAAGAGGGGCTGGTGAGATGGCTCCCTGGTCTAAAGCACCTACTTAGAACTAGCTAAGCAAAGCACAGGGACCGCGGTTCAATCCCCCAGCACCACATGCCAGCCAGCCCCGCCCCCTGGTGGGCTGAGCTGGCCACACACACAAAAAAAAAAAAAAAATAAAAAAATAAAAAAATAAAAATGACAAGAACACAAAAGATTGAAGAGAAAAAATAACTATCCTTGTCCATAAATATTTATCTTGGTGGTAGCCATTTTTTTTTATATCCCACTAGAAATATTCCAATAATGGATTCTCTGTGTCTCAGTTTTTCCGCTGAACAATGGAGATAATAACACATGATGAGATTCCTGTGAGGGTTAGGCTAGCTAAGTCGGAGCTACAAATATATGAGCCTTCTTGTTCTTCCCTGAGGATTGAGGATTGAACCCAGGGCCTTACCACTGAGCTAGCTCACCAGTCCCCCTTTTTATTTTTTATTTAAGACAGAATCTCACTAAGTCACTAAATTGCCCACATGGCGCAAACTTGCGATCTTGCCTCAACTTCCCACCGTGCTGGGATTACAGGCTATGTCACCACATCTTGCTACTTTCCCAAAACACACAGTTTTGTCCTTTTTCTCTAGGTGCTGTTTTCAGGAGACTGCACCTCCTCTTATACACAAAGTGTGGCCACTCCTGACTGACAGAGCACACTGTTGTGTGACAGACTAATTTATTTAATTGGTCCCCAGTGAGCCAGTCTGGCTGTTTCTGGTCTCTAGCAGCCAAGGGCATTTGTCCTGACAGGCCTGGGCATCTCGCTGGGTCATTTCCTTTGCTAAGAGGTTCTCCTTCCCTTGCCCTGAAAAGACCTGGCTCCATACTTACAAATAACTCACCCTCAGTTTGTTTTTTGTTGTTGTCTTTTCTTTCTTTCTTTCTCTCTTTCTTTCTTTCTTTCTTTCTTTCTTTCTTTCTTTCTTTCTTTTTTTTTTTTGTGGAACCAGGGATTGAACTCAGGCCCTTGCACTTGCCAGGGAAGCGCTTATTCTCCTGATCCATCTCCCCAGCCCTCACCCTCAGTTTAAAATTATTAGAAATTCAATTCAGCAAGGAGAAAAAAAAAGATCTCAGTGTTTGTTTTCTGTCACTGAAAAAAAAAAAAAAAAAAAAAAAGCCTGACAGTAACAAGGGAAAAACTACTACAGCTCACAAAATGAGGCTTCGGTCCCTGGTCAACTGATTCCACTACTTTTTGAGCTCTGGTGAGTAGAAACATCCATCATGGTGTGAGTGCTTGGCATAAAAAGTCACTCACCACAAGGTGGCCAGGAAGCAGAGGCCGAGTGCTGCGCTGGGCAGGTGTTCTCCTTCCACTTCCCTTCTGTCCAGGCCCCAGACTATTGCGTGGTGCCAACATTCAGGGCAGGTCTCCTGGATTTGCTGTCCTACATGCCAGTCATCTCTAGAGTGACCCCCACAATGTATTCCCAATATGTTGGAATTCCAGTCACCTCCAGAAGTTTATTATATTAATTTCCTTGGTATTTCTCAGTCCAATCAAATTAATAATCAAGATGAATCATCATGGTGCTTTATGCCAGAGCAAGGCAACCAGTAACCAATATCATGGTGTAGATCATTCCAGGCTTTCCGGATTGTCTCATTCTTTATGTTAGAGATACACCCAAAATTCATTCTCAGTTGTATAATTTTAACACAAGGATTCATTCAGGCTCCTACACCTTCTGCAGAGCAAGGACCCCCTGCCCTGTTTGTAAGGAAGCAGCGGAAGGCAAAAGGCAGAACAGGGAACTGCCCTTGTTCTATGCTACCCACAAACAAATCTGAGCTGCTCCATTTCATAGATGAGGCAAGATCCAGGTAGCCACACAGCCGTGTGTGCCATGCGGTTCTGTAAAAATCTGTCCCAGGACACAGCTGCCCTGTCCAGTAGCACCTGCTACACACTCCACCGTCCCTGCCCCATCTACCCCTTTACCCCTCCGTCTGGCGACCTCATTCAGCCCCAAGCCTGCAATACCCACTGCTCTGTACCCAGCCTCCCTGCCCTGCCCTCCGGGTGACGTCCGAGGTGAAGCCTCCCCAGCTGCCTGGGCACGGCAGTTCCCTCCAGTTTGGTCACACAGGTCGTTCTGGGTGCTGGGGGTGGGGCCAGGGGCTGACCACAGAGGCCCACTGTGGCCAGGCGGAGTAACCTCCGCCCATTACCCAGCAGGACATGAGTTCCAGGGCCACCCCACGGCTGCTGACACTCCAGCGACACCTGGAATCCCTGCAGGTAAGGGGAGCAGGCCAGGACCCTTGTCTGCCTGGGACCTGAGAACAGGGGACACACATGAAGAGCTGAGTTCTGGGAGAATAAGGCCACTGATGGCTCTGGGAGGGCAGAGGAGTCCTCAGCTGAGCACCATAAAGGGACCAGGTCCGCGCTGTTTACAGAACTGGGTCCTCATCATGCTGAGTCAGCAATTCCAGTCACCCTTACACACTAAGTGTCCTCTGGGCTATTTACTCTCACACAGAGGGTGTGGACAGAGGCCTGGGTGTGTTCTGGGGCCCCCAGGAGCTCACGGTGCCCCTCTTGCGGCCCAGGACAGTGATATGGAGTCTGGAAGCAGCCCACTTACCACACATGTGCTAGACACCACATCTGGGCTCCCAGCTGTGGGCCTCTGCCTCCGTTTGTCTCAGCTGATGGACCTTGGCCAGCAGTGGACAGAGCTGAGGAAAAGGTAGGGGGTCCTGAGAGAGGCTGGGAACCCATAGTTCCTGCACCTCCCATGCTGGGCTCTTGCTGTGTCCTCGGGGACAGTAAAGGAGCCCAATACTGAGGGTAAAGAGCAGGGCTGGTGCTGCCCCACCATCCCTTCGGACTTGGGGCCCCTCCCTGTGATTTATGTGTCTCAGTTGCCTCACCTGAAAACAGCATGTTGGATGTAGCTGTATCTCTAGGTACACAGTCCTGAGTGGGTCCCATGGGACTTGCTGGGACAGCATCTGTCCAGGCTTCGCTTCCAAGCCAGTGGGCCTGATAGGTAGGCGCCAAGTTGTGTCTCTCCTTGACAGCTGTGGGAGCTTGAGTTAAGGACTGACGTGGAACCTAAAAGACATCATGATTGCCGCAATTTACAGGTAACCTTGAGCTAGCCAGCACACTGAGCACTCTGTTTCTGCTTTGTATCCTTCATACACCCCGTGGAAAGGCACCATAACCACCCATTTTAAAGATGGGAAGACTGAGACAGCCAAAACAAGGGGAAATTTGGGATTCCAGGTCAGACCTATAGAGCACTGAGCTCTTCAGCTTCCATGTGCATACACAGGATCCAGATACTGGGTCCTCTTCCCTTTCCTCTGCCTCAGGTACAGACTCTGCTGGAAAGGTCCTTGAGTTGGCCCTGTGAGCAGGTTCCCAGAGTTTCCATCCTCAAGGAGGCAGGCTACCCCTGTGGGTATCCTCTTTTCAGCCCCAGAGTGGAAGGAGCAGGTTAGGAGTCTGTGGTTGGGCCCTAAAGATTCAGGTCTAAAGGCATGGTGAGCTCCCTACCCATCTAGCCTTCACAACAGCGGGTGGTGAGCTCAGGGCCAGGTCTCACTGGCACAGCCACCTCAAGTCAGCATGGTACTGTGCTGCCCAGGAGTTCCAGAAAGGTCACATGGACCCACTCCCACCCCAACACTACACATATGCATCCCCAGCTCTCTTGTCCAATTGGTTGGACGTGTGAGGTTTTTCCAGTGTGAAGGGAGCAGATGAGGGATGGATGAGAGATTTCTCTGGATGAGCGATTAGCCCATCCACATGGACCCTTGTGGAGCCTGCACAGGCCACCACATAGGAGCATTACTGACCCAGAAAGCCAGGCACAGTAAGACACTGAAAAACACAGGTTATGAAACAGCACCAATCACATGCTTTGTAAAAAAAAACTGTAACTCTTAAATAAACATACCTAGGCATAGAGAAAATCCAAAAATATATGGCAATTTTTTTTTGTTGTTGTTCTTTGAGACAAGGTCTTGACATGCAGTTCAGACTGGCTTTGAGCTCACGTTATAGCCCAGGATGGTCTCAAACTCGCAAGGATCCTCCTGCCTCACAAAGTGATTTTTGCTCATGGAATGCTGTAATTGTTTTTTGTTTTTTGATCTGTGTTCATTTCCAGGCAGTACTGCAGTGTCCCGAGAGCCTGGCCCCATCTCTCCTCACCCATGTCTGCAACAGGCTGTGGGGAGTGTTGGAGGCCCCTGGGGGTGCAGACCCTGGAGAATTGGGGTATGGTGGCTCTGCAGCCCTGTCCTCTTGCTAGCTCCACAGATATGGATGGCCGCTGCCCAGGGCTTCTGAAGCCAGGCCAGCTGAAGCCAGGCACCTACAAGCTGTCCTTTGATACCGGGGACTACTGGAAGAAGAGGGGGCAAGCGAGCTTCTACCCCTACGTAGAGGTAAGGGCCACAGGTGGGCAGAGGGGGTGAAGGCCCTGACACTGTAACTAAAGGTTAGGCATTACTGGCCTGGCCTCATCCAAGGAATAGCAAACTGGTCCCACCTATTCCAAGAAGTGGCAGAGACGTGAACTCGCCTGCTTTTCCACCTCCAGATGTCCAGGGACTTGAAGCATCATTAGACATGATGACCACCTATCTATCCCTGAGCTGCCCCTGGGTTAGGCTTTGGGGGAGGCCAGATCAGGATGACTTGTTCATCCTTCTGTTGATGGAATTTACACCTGAGCCCAGACTCTAGCTTGCTGGGCCTTACCTTGATCCTTGCCCCTTCACCTGCAGCCACCATCAAAGCACCTGACATGTTTCACATACAGCAGACTCAGGGGACCCTGCCTCTCTGGAATTGTTTCAGAGAGAACTAATCCCACCCTCCACCCTCAGGAATGTTCCGGTCCACCTGACCCAGCCCCATAGTGTGTGCTGCCTTACTCTCCCAGGAAGCACTGGGGCACAGCTTGGGTGCTGATTGCTTACTGTCTCCCGGGGCCTTCTGCTTCTTTCAGGTTGTTTTCACCATCTCAAATGACAGCCAGAAGTTCCACGTGCCCCTGCTCCTGAGCCCATGGTCATACACCACCTACCGAGGGAGCTAGCACTGAGCCAAGCTCAACAGAGGCTACCTGTCCCTCCAACACTGAGCCAGTGGGCTTCATGATCATCGTGGGGCAGAGGTCACCCACTTCTTGGGGAGGGACTGCAGTTTTCCAACAGGCAGCCATGACTTCAGTGTCAATAAAGTCAGTGCTGACAACTACAAAATTAATCCCATTGTAGTAACACAGGCCTTGCGTGGGGGAATAGAAGCAATGTATGGATGGCCAGAGCTCTGCTCCCACTGCCCAGGTCCCAAGTGAGTAAGGGGCCCTCAGACGTGCTGCAGAAGGCAGGCGGGACTGGGAGAGGTGGTCACAGTAGACTGGACACACACTCAGGAAGGGGGCAGACTGTGATGCTATGGGTGGAGGCCCTGTAGGTATTCTCTGCACACTAGCCAAAAGAACACAAGGGAACCACGGAAAATTTTCATTTGCTGTTGAGGAAATACAGTGAAAGCTTGCTGTCCTGGGGTGAAAGAAGGGGTAGTGAGGCCAGACGTTCTGTGGGCTGCAGCCCAGGCAGGCAGCTACTTTAGGTATCTGTGGGCCCAAGCCCCAGTCTCTCCCTGATCACAGCTGTCTTCAGGAGCTTTAAGCCCACATTGTCCAAGATGACTCCAACGGCCAACAGCTTTGCTTCATTTGTGTGCAGCAGGGGATAGAGCAGTGTCAGGGAGGAAGGAATCCTGGGCCCCGACACCATGGCTAAGATGCTCTGGCCTCCCACAGCTAAGTGCCTCTCCATGGAGGGGAAGGGTATGAGGGGTGGTCATTTTCTCAGCGAGGATCATCATCCCTTCTGTGCCCTTGCTGAATGCAATGCTCCTTCCCTGGAGGGCACAGCACCCTGCAACTTCCCAACAACTCTCCATCTTTTCCCAGGAGCAGGGCTCCCATGGGTACAGGTCTGGGTCACCCCTGATCTGCCCTAAGAGAACGGCAGCACCGGGAGGGGCAAAAGGGACCAGCAAACACTTTCGCAGCCACCAGAGAACTTTGCTCCCCAATCTAGACAATGCCTATTTTTAAATGGTGAGCTTCACCGAGTGGTGTGAAGGTGTGATGAATTGATAGATATGAAAAACATGGAGCTTGGTCTCACTCAGCAAATACCCAGAAGGTTAGTTATCTCCAATGGGGTTCAAAAGAGTCCCTGGTCTTGGAACTGGGCACCTAAGGGAAAGATAAGAAGGCCACACAGGAGACTGGAGAGAGCAACGCCCAGCACGTAGTTTGAGAAGGCTGAAAGGTCAGAGCAGTCTGGGCACCACGGAGACCAAGAACCTGTGCGAGACAATGTCTACATCCTGGGGGGTTTGTTTTTTTTTTTTTTCTTTGGTGGAACCGGGGATTGAACTCAGGCCCTTGTGCTTGCCAGGGAAGCACTTACTCCACTGAGCCATCTCCTCAGCCCCCCGTCCTGCGTTCTTACAGGAATGTCTGGACATGGCCCAAAACAAAAGAACCAGAATGCAATGTCCACTCCACAGAATTAAGGTGTCAGACTTAAAGGGCACCTGACCTCTGTAAAATCCTCTGCAGGTAGCAGGCAAAATGTAGACAGAGCAGTTGTATGCGGAGAGCTGCTCTCAGCCACATGCGACAGATAAGAGCTGGGGGTACCGGCTTTAGCTTCAGGGGTCTGCCCCCCCCCAAGTCACAGGACTTTGCTGATATGCTTATTCAGCATGGAAAATATGTTGCTTTCACCAAGTTCACAGAGTTGGGAAAGGTTAGGCCTCTGACCATCCCATGATGACAATGGATATTAATCTGGGAGACTAGAAGAGACCTCTCTGATTGCCCGGAGGTCAGGTTGGCACTGAGATTGGGGGGGGGGGGGTAACAAAAGGCAGCAGAAACCCAAGCATGCAACAGGCAGGCAACATGGAACAGTGTTAGGTGGGAACCAGATCACATGCCAGGCCAACTGACCCTCGTACAGAACAGATGCCTTGAGCTGTGACTGTCTCACCATGGGGGAACAGTCACACTCCCCTCATCAGATAAGCAGAAACAGGTGTACGTTGCAGAAGACATCCACAGACGTTGACTGCCTGAAGCTGAGCTTGAGGGAGCAGATCCGAGAAAGGAGGCAAGGGGGCAACAACTGCATTTTGTAGGCTGAGGCCATTCCACAGGCAGGTCTGAGACAGTGGTGTTCCAGAGCGCCCGAAGGAGACTGAGGCAGACAGGGTGGATGGTGGTCTGGGGGCTCCTTTGGGAGTCAAAATGGCAGTATTTTCTATGTGATGATGATATGCTTACTGAAGTCTTTATAATACTGCAGGCTACTCTTATTCTAGAGAAGGAAATCTATTGGGGAAAAGGAATGGAGACTAGAAAAAGTTCTTCAGAGACAAGAAGGATCTCTAATAGGTTGCCCCAAAGATATTTTAAAAGCTACACACAATATTTTTGTGTTTAAAAAACTGTGATAGGGCTGGGGATATAGCTCAGTGGCACAGTGTCCACCTGGCAAGCATGCAGTCCTGAGTTTGATTCCTGATTAAAAAAAAAAAAAAAAAAAATCTGTGGGCCTCGCACCTGCTGCCGGGCTGGGCCAGAGCAGCCCAAGACGGCGGACTTTGAGGATCAGATGCTCAGGTGTCGAATGAGAAGGTACGCATAGCTGCTAAATTCATCACTCACGCACCCCAGGGGAGTTTAATGACGTATTCAATGATGTCCGGCTACTACTTAACAATGACAGTCTCCTCAGGGAAGGGGCAGCTCGTGCATTTGCCCAGTATAACATGGGTCAGTTCACACCTGTGAAGATAGGAGGCTATGAAGATCAGCTCTTAATTACAGAGCATGGTGATTGAGTAATAGCAGATTTTTAGATCTGAGAAACAAAATTTCCTTTAAGCTTGATCACTTACAGAGAGAAGCAAGTGACTCCCATCTGGAGGAAATAAATGGAAGTTTGAAGTCTTGGAGAGAATCCTGTGACAGTGCTTTAAGAGCCTATGTGAAGGATCATTATGCGAATGGCTTCTGTACTGTATAGGCTAAAATTATAGATGGACAACAGACTATTATTGCATATATTGAAAGCCACCCGTTCCAGCCTAAAAATTTTTGGAATCGTCGCTGGAGGTCGGAGTGGAAATTCATCACCACACCACCTGCAGCCCAGGTAGCTGGAGTGCTCAAGATTCAGGCTCACTATAACAAAGATGGCAGTGTTCAATCGGTTAGTCATAAAGATGTGCAAGATTCAATAAGTGTGTCAAATGAAGCCCAAACTGTCACGGAGCTTATTAAAATCAGAGAGTGTAGAAAATGAGTATCAGACAATGTCAGACACCACATTCAAGGCCTTGCGCCGGCAGCTCCATTACCCACACCAAAATCGACTGGAACAAGATACTGAGCTCTAAGATTGGCAAAGAAATGCAGAATGCTGAAAGGCCGACTGTGGGATTCTTCAGTATATGGAAAGAAAATGATTCAACATGTAGTCATATGATAAATAAGTGATTTATAAAGAAAAGTAAAATTTTTTTTTTTTTTTTTTTGGCGGAACTGGGGATTGAACTCAGGCCCTTGCGCTTGCCAGGGAAGCTCTTATTCTACTGAGCCATCTCCGGCCCCAAGGAGTAACTTTTTTTTTTTTTTTTTTTTTGAAAAGTAAAATTTTGCTAGGGCTTTCAAACTTAACAGATTTTCTAGTCTCATGGAATACTGTTCAACCTATAGTATTGTCTTGACCTTGCATTCTCTGCCTTGTAATTTTCTGTCATGGCTATATCTACTTGTAATTTTTTTTTTCTGTTTTCTGTTGGAGAGAGAGAGAGAGATCTATCTTAGAATCATTTTACTGTGTAGAAAATTTTCCTAGCCATGAAGTCCTGCTACTTTTTAGGTAATATGTTCAGTACTTTTTTACCCCTGTGCTTCTGAGTACTTGTGTTACTTCAGTGGCTTCTATTGATCCAACAGGTAAAGGGGCTGTGCTGTAGACTGTAGCTAAGTGGAAGATGCATTCATCTTTTTCCATTTGGCTGCTCTGATCATCATTTACAACATAACTGTTAAAGCTCTGCATTAGAGTCTTTCAGGTTCATTTGGGTGGGAGCAAAAGAAATATTCTGAGAATTCCATGACAACCAGCTTTTCTAGGTGAACTTGTTTCTAAATCCAAAGACTTGAACCATTTCCTGCACTAGAACATGTTTGCTTTTTTGTGGGGAGGGGGTTCTCTCGTTGTCTCCTTCCCTATTGTAGGTATTGACACCTGCATTTTTAGAAGAATTTTACCCATTTGCATTTTTGTTTGTGTGTGTGTTTAAGAACTGCCGACGTACTGTGGATGTAGTAAAACTTGAAAAATGCAGTGTTGAAGGAATCATGGGTATCTTGTCCTTTACTGCTTTGTGGCAGGATTGTACTATAAGCAAGTGAATCAAAACTCTATAAATCACAAAAACTAAAACCAAAGTGAAAAGAGTAACTTTCAGGCAGTATCTCTCTATTGTAACCTGTTATTTAAGAGCATACTAGTATTTTCTAAGTAGGATGTAAATCTTGTTCCAAATTACTCTTTTGTAGTCCTGCCTGCCAAGAAATCAATAGTAACTAAAATATAGCATCCCTTCCCAGGTATACTGGCAGGTGAACGTGTGATCCCAGAAACACACAGGTGACAGATACGATAGGAAAGCCGATAATGGTGGATTCATTTACATTGTTTACACTTCTATGACCAGGCCTTAAAGGGAGGTCAGTTTTTTTAAAAAACCAAGTAGTGTCTTCTTATTTCCAGATACATGTTTTTAAAAAAAGGTGTTTATGCTTCAGCTTTGTTTTTTGCTCAGTAAGCAGTCACTCAAGAGTTTGTTTCTAAGTGAAAGCTGCGTTAGCCTTTTTTGTTTTTTCCAAATAAAATATATTTGTACTATTTGTCATTCATACTATCCATCAATCATACCATACTATCTTCTGTATCAGGTAGTCCAATAGATATATACCTGTTTTGTTCTAAAAAAAAAAAAAACAAAACAAAACTGTGATAATGTGGTCACATGACTCAAGAAGTTTAAAAATCCATAAAAGGCTTTCAACGTCAACTCTGTTCCATCATAAGGTCTGGGCTGTCCATCTGTCAACTGCATCTTCATTTATTTTTATTTTTTACCTTTTTTGAGACAGGCTTGCTATGTAGCTCAGGCTGGCCTGAATTCACGGCAATTCTCCTACCTCAGCCTCCCAAGCACTGGGATTATAAGCGTGCACCACCACACCTGGTGCATCTCCACTGCTTGCCAGGCCAGACAGTTTCTTCATGGAGATGCAGGTAGTACGGTGTACATTCTTGTTTCCATGTCCTCCCTTACAGAGGGCCTGGATCTGCAGCTTAGCTCCTGATGCCCCCACATGGTAAGGCTGCTGGTGCTCCTCCCTGAAGGGCACTGCAGGTATCACACCAAGACCCAGACCTAGCCTGCCACCAACAGACAATAGCCAGCAAAGCCCCTCAAACCCTCACCTGCTCAGCCCGAGAAAAAGTATCCTTGCAGATAGACATCATCACTTCCTTAGAAGGCTCCTCACCCATAAAACAGGGGAACAATGACCAGTAAAGGCAAGGACTGACCCACATTTTGTGCTAACTGCACACTGACCATGCTAACAATGATTCGTATCACTGCATGTGAGCTGCTTGGCAGCACCAGCAGTGTCCAGCTCAGGCTCAGCTCCCCCTCCCAATGGGCGGTAAGGTCTCTCTTCCACTCCAACAGCAAGACCTTTCAACCCACCGGTCCTCCGGGTGACCAGCCCTACAAGGGTAGCAGCCCAACAGGGTGCAGACGGAGCTGAGCCTCTAATCCCAGGCCCTGTTGCTGTGGCCCGCACAAGTTCCTCCTATGCAGTTACCCAACCCTAGGCCTAAGATCCAGCCTATCCCAGTAACCAGGGTCACACGAGCACTGCTACTACTCTTCTGTGGGTGGACAATTGTTCTCCTTCACCAGAAGTACGGGCACATCACCTGAGACACTCCTAGACTCTCCTCAAAGGGGGACAAGTCCTGTAGGGATCACCTCTTAACAACTCTCAGAACCTCTTCTCTCGCCTGCACCAGCCCTACCTGCACCACCAGCTCTGTATTCCCCAACTAAGCTCCCTTGACTCAGTCTTCTCTGCCCAAGCTTTACTGGCTCTCAATACACCTCAAATGTGCTTTTATGTATTAGAGGACAGGAGCTATTCAGGACTCAGGCAGCCATGGACAACAGGCTTATGGAAATGACAAGGCCAGCAATAAGCAGCAGGAACAGGATGGAAGACTCCAGCAGCTGGGCCCCACCTAGGCTAGCCAGTCATATATAGCACACTAGAGCCTCCTCTCCCACAGCAACACCCACTCAGAAGAGCCACAGGAAGGAACTCTCCCTTCCTCTCTCCAGGGCCGGAGCCTGGTTTTGGGTCCCAAAAGTCTCTCATAGGCTTTTCCCTTGAGCGCAGGAAAGCACCTGCTAACAAAGGAGAGGAATTCAGTTGGAAACTCACAACCAGAATCTCCTTGTCCTTTTCATAGTTCCCATGTTTCTTCTGCATGTGAAGTTTCATAGTTCCCACGTTTCTTCTCTTGTCCTAGTACCTCCTGGAGAGGGTCTTCCAGGTACCTATTCTACAGACACCTTTGCCATCCTCCCTCTTCATACAGTGCAGGCACAGGAGGGATCAGGATGTAGGTGCCAGCTGAGTGCCCTCCTATCACAGACAGATCCTGCCAGCCTTCCACACCCTAAGAACCTAGGCTTGTTTATGTACAAATATCTTTTGTGCTCTTAATTTACTCTGGATTTTCTAGGAATGCTGTTCCTTGCAGTGCTACTGAGTTACATCCACTTAGTTGAAGCTGAGCTGCTCCCAGGCCTATGACAAACATGAAAAGTTTTCCAAATCCAGCAGCTAGGCAGACCTTTTTTTTTTTTTTTTTTTGGTACCGGGGATTGAACTCAGGATCTTTACTTGTCAGTCAGGTGCTTAGGCTGCTGAGCTATCACTCCAGCCCAAGGCAGAACTTTTTTTAAGTCTAAAGTCAAATGTATCATCTTTTTTCAAATCCCAAGAAGGTTCAAATTCACCAACAGTCAAAACCAGCCCTATCATGGATTTCCAGAACAGCAACTTTTGGCCCACTGTCCAGCTGGTACAGGATCTCACTATGCAGCTTGGACTCATAGTGATCCTCCTCCTTTCAGCCTCCTCAGCCCTGGAATTACAGGCATATGTCACCACACCCAGACTCAGTGGCTAGGTCAGCGCACCCATGGGCAGGGCCGGTATGGTCATTTATTTTTTTATTCCTCCAGACCTTGGGCCTTCCCATTGGCCTGCAGCTTCTCAAACTCTTAACTCTAATCCATGTAAGAGTCTGACCAAACCTAAACTGTAACGCTAACCCAATCCTATCCCCAATCTGAAGCCAAATATTAATTTGAATTGTAACCCTAATCTCATCCCCAACCTAATCATTACCCTAACACTAATGATAAAGATTGCTACAAAAGAAAAAGAGGACAATCTGCCCCAGTATCTCCTTTTCTCAGGCCTTCAAAACTCCTAGAACTAGAGCTGAGGAAAAAGGGTCAAACCAACCATGAGAAACAAAGTGGAGAAAAGAAAGCAGCTAATAACACAATCCAAAGGCAAAGTTAATAATGGAGAAAAAGCCAATTAGTCTACTAGGTTATTGTGATAAGGGAGGAGTCCACACAGACCCATGAGACATCTCAGGAGAGAGACAGGCTTAATACAAGATTCAGTGGAATGTGTTTAGGTGAAACCTAAACGAAGTACTTGGATGGGCGGAAATCAAGGACTGTACACTGGCTTCACCGTCAGGTCCAAACTAGGAAGTAGACCAGGACACAGTTTCCCTGGAAACTGGCTGGAACGCAGAATGCAGAGTTCCAGATGTACTTCTCTGAAGCTCTGGGTCTAGACTGTAAATCAAGGCATCTTTGTGAAATCAGGATGTGTCTTTTTTACTAGTGACTATATTAATAAGGATTCACAGTGTAACAGGAGACACAAGGGGACATCTGGATAACTTACACCTGCATGGAGAAAATCATTTCCTATTAACAATCCTGGCTTTATCTGAATTTCTTACCTTGACTGCTGAGTAACAAGGTGGACACTGACTGCTCACATGAAGCTGATGCTTACCTTTCCAGAGGGCAGTCATGCTAAACTCTGGAGGAGTGACCCAAGCAAAAGGGACAGCAAAGTTGAAGACCTTGAGGCAGGACTAAGTTTGGTCACCTCAGGAGCCAAGAAGAAATCAGCAAGACTAGAGCAGAGGGGAACACCAGAGGCTGGACGTAGGGCCTTGCATGTTGGCCTTCATGTTGTATTTTAGGTACATCAAAGTCAGTGACCTGGAGAAACATCTGAAATTCATTAAGGATCACTTTGGCTGCAATGAAGATAGTCAAAAAGAAAGACTGAATATCAGTTTAACACAACAATCAACGTAAGACACAGGATCAGAACTTATAAAGAAAACACAGATTTGAAAAGACAGAGCTGACCTACTGGCTAAAGTACTGAACACATAGAGCCAAATATGACACAGGTTTGCAGCTTAATCAACTAAATGAGGCAGCAGTGCCAGTGTGTAAAAAGCAGGGGAGATAGAAGCCTAAATATGTGTTTTAAACATGTAGTTTGATTTGCCCATGAAACACCCATCAGCGATCTCAAGTAGACCAATGGGTGCCAGGTTCCACCTAGTTTGGAATAAGCCTGGGAAACACCAGTGAAGATCAAGCTGCTCAGGTCTCTGCAGGTCTCTTATGTCATGTGGAAATCCCACCTCACTGAAACAGAGGGTCTGGGACTGGAACCTAAAGCAAGCAACATTTAGATGGGCCATCTGCTAAGATTTAATCCAGGTCTCTGGCTGGGACTGTGAGGCAAAAAGCTTCTTGACTCCTAAGAACAGAGCCTGACCTAGTGGAGGCCAAGCTGGTACCCAGGATCACAGCTGCTCAGAAAAAAAGGTAATATGGACAAAGGACTGGGGTGAGAACCCAGACTCAGCAGTGTAGGCCCCTGCCTATCTGTAGTTACTATAACAAAGACAGCATACTTCCTCACTCAGTATTCATTTTTATATACATATAACAAATTAGGACATTATACATAAAACACTAAACTTCTGTTTTATTTTATTTTATTTATTTATTTATTTTTATTTTTTCTTTTTTTTTGGCAGAACCGGGGATTGAACTCAGATCCTTGCACTTGCCAGGGAAGCACTTATTCCACTGAGCCATCTCCCCGGCCCCTTTATTTTATTTTTTTAAAGAGGGTCTTGCTATGCAGTTCAGTCACTCACTTTGTAGCCCAGGCTGGTTTTGAACTTGCAACAATCCTCCTGCCTCAGTCTCCCAAGTGCTAGGATTACAGGTGTGTGCCACCATGCCCAGCAAATGAACAAGGTATCCTTTCAAATATGAGTCCAATGTATAATCACAGAGCTTTCCCACAAAACCTCATCATTGTCAGCTACTTAAATCCTGGATTATGAGTACTATTTTCTTCATACAACACACATTTAAGCTTATTGTAGATTTTTCTTTTTCTTTTTTTACAGAACCAGGGATTGAACTCAGGCCCTTGCAATTTTACTGAGCCATCTCCCTGGCCCTTATTGTAGATTTTATAAATGCACCTTTGTCTCTTTTTGTTAGAGGGACATTTCATCACAAAACCTACAAATGGGATCATGTGCTCATCGGACAGTCTCATATCTGCCCAAATGCCATAGACCCACATCCATAGACCAACCACAGACAGGGCAACTCCACATACACTGACAGAGTTACTGGAAAGATGCTGCTCTCAAAATAAAACCTGGACAGCCTACCATGTGAAAACTGTTCCAAGATGGGGAGGAGGCTAAAAGAAATTGAACCTAAACTCTTCATCAGGAGTATCAAGGGTGGCCTTGGCTCTCCCTCCTGGACGAGGCCTGCAGACTCTTCCGCTCTTCTTTCTGGCGGACTCACCTACAGGCTGCACCTGGGCTGCATGAGCAGCTGTCAGGAGGAGAAGCAGAATCAGAACTCAAAAACAGCAGCTAATATTACCCATACAGATAAGGTGGTCCATGGAACTCCAACCCCTTCGAACCATTCAAAATCAACTACTCAAAAGCCTAGGGTAGTATCATCACCACTACTCATTTAGTGTTAGTGAGCCTGAATAACCTGTCAAAAACGTTAAGATCTAAGTGGTAGATCTAGGACTGAAACCCAGGTTGTTTGGCTTCACGAGTTACACTCAAACTGTTATGGTATCTGGCCTCGTGGATAGCACAAAAAGCCAGGGAAAGATTAGTGAAATAGCTTTCCCCATCCCAGAAACAGAATCAGAAGACCAAACCTCCTTCTACCCCTGCTCTTGCCCCAGACCATTCCCCCTGAGAAGTACTGTACCGACTTTCTGCCGCTCAAGCTTCTCTGAGCCCCATCTCCAGGCCAGACTCCCCTAGGCTTCTTCTTTCCACTTCCTCAACACTTTCTACCTATTCCCTTTAATCAGAGGGACTGAAGCAACCACTTCCCAAATAGCTACTCACCTGCCCTGAGATTTCGCAGTGCCTCTAGCCACTCAGCCTCCATCTGAGCCCTGTAGTTCCCAAACAAGGAGTGCATTAGCTGTCTCTTCCGGGGCAAGGGAGTTTTTTGACTGCGCAGGGTTCGGATTGCTCCAATAGCCTCCTCTTCTGTAGATTAAAAAATAAAGAGTCTAGTGAGCTCTGGTACACCGACCGATCACCTACTGTAAAAGCAATAATCCTATCCCTTGGCAACACCAAGAGGCCACAGCACTATCACCATTCACATTCCCCACTCCACAGAAGGGCCCCTCACTCTGTTTTGGGGTGGGTCTCTGCGTCTTGAGGCCAAGCTCCAACTTCTCCACGCACCAGGCCAGTTCCCGGGCCAGCTGCTCTGCCTGTGATGGACCAGAGGAAGTGGCTATGAGCTCGGAGCACCGAGACACAACAGCTCCCACCTCATACCCTCACCGCCTTAACTCTGGAGATGCTAGACCACACCCATGCGAGGACCCGCAGGCACCCGGAGATCCCACCCTTGCCTGTGCCTCAGCGCTTGGTGGGGCATCCTCGGGGGCGGGCCTCCCCGGAGCCTTCTCGCCTCCATTCGACACAGAGGTTCTGTTCTGGGCTTTCTTCTTCTGTTTTCTCGAGACTGCGTCGCCTTCACTGCCAACGGGGTGCACCTTGGAGGCGACGTCAGTGCCCTCGAGTTGTTCTGAACTGAAGGAGACAGAAGGATTCGGGGCTCCGGGAACTGGGCCGGGACGCCGGGATTTGCGGCGCGCACGGGCACTAACCGGGCGCGAGGCTGCTGGCACCTCCGGAAGAGGATGTCCTAGAGCCTGCGGAAAGGAGGAGAGCAAGGTCACAAGACACCGCCTCGGGCCTCAGGCCCCACAACCAGCGACTCCCCGCACAGCTCACCGCCATGCGCTGGAGTGGCTACCGGAAGTTACGTAGAGCACCGCGTCCAACTTCAAATTTCTTCCCGGGGACACATTTCTGCTGCTCAGGTTACCGTACCTCACGTGGAGGCGGGGCCTGCGGGATGGGCGTGGTTTGATGGGGTGGGCGGGGCTTGCGGGATGGGGGTGGGGGCGGCCTGAGTGGTTCCGGGAAGGAGTGCGGGCGCCTGGAGGCGGCTGCTCGCCGCACCATTTTGGGTTGCCGGACAAAGGTCTAAGCGCAGGTTGCCTCATAAAGATCACCTGCTAGTGGGGAGAGAAGAGCAGGTAAACATAAAAAGCTGTCGCCCAGAGTGCCACGTGGGCAGCTTTTGGGAAGGGAAGTCAGCGAAGAAAAGCCGCCACCGAGCAAGAGAGGTTTGGCAGACAGCAGGGACCGTGGCCTGACTGGATCTTGGCGTGGTCGGGCCACGGGTGAGCAGGGCAAGGATCCGTCTTTGCAGAACCCAGTAGAGCAGCCCACAGTGTTTCCATTTTACTCGCCTTGGGAAGTCACTATAAATTACAAGAATTAAAGAATTAATAACCCCACTCAGCTGTGTTTAAAAACTTGCTCTGCTGTGTGTATGAATGGTGCAGGTGCGGTAGAGAGATATGCAAAAATTTAAGCGTGGTTTCACTTGCTGGTGGACTGGATGTGACCACGAGGGAAGCTGAAGAGCAGAAGCAGGAGGAAGCCCCGTCCCACAGTCTGAGACCCTGATGCCTCGTGGGGGTGGGGTCGGGGGCTCACACCAGAGAGAAAATACTGAGGGGAGACTGAAGTTTCAGGAGAACCAGGAGTAAGGCCAAGCTGGTGAAGGGTGTGGGGTGTGACTGAAGACAAGATCTAGGGTGTCTGATGATTCCTGCCTAAGAAATAGGGATAGAAAGTGTTTGCAGGCCGGGGAGATAGCTCAGCAGTCTAAGCACCTGCCTGGCAAGGGCAAGGACCCGGGTTCTATCACCCATACCGCATGTGGAGCCGGCCAATGAAATAATTCCAGAGCTGGGGAGGCTGAGACTGCAGGACCACTAAGAGTCTTAGCTGCCTAGAGAGACCTTTGTACCAAATAAATAAAAATCTTTTTTTTCCCCATAAATTTATTGAGAAACAAATAGCAATGAGACAGTTTCAAACCAAACTGGTAGGACAGTTTCAATAATTAAAACATTGTATACATTCTTCCTAGTGGTTAATTGCTGTACAAGATGCAGACATGATATCCCACTTACACCATTAGGACAAATCCCTCTATTCATTAAAAGAATGTAACTATATATCGATCCTAGCCATTTGAATACACAGATACAAAATGTACATTCATCTGCATCCCCTTTTTGTTAAGTTCAGTTATTTGAATATTATAGGTGTGT